AAAAAAAAAAAAAAAAAAGTAAAAGTTCCCAGGTGATTTTAATGTATAGCAACTTTTGGGAGCCACTGCTTTGTAGTTCTTCCAGATTACTAAAAATGTTAAATAATAGTTGGCATCCACTCTCAAGCATGTAAGGTTTGTTCTTCCAAGCTACCATTTGTACCTTTTTGTATGTTTATCTGTTAGATTGAGTTTTCTTTTGTGTTTAAGAAATTTACATTAATAGGTAGAAAAATCACAGAATGCTACAAAGTAATTGTTACAGGCAAGAGCCACTGATGGGTGCTTAGTGATTGAAAGATTGAAGAGAAACAGAATGTTTGCTGTCTGAAAGTATCTTTGATATTTTTAAGTTACAAAAGGAAAATAGCAACTTTCTAATGACAAATGTGGCAAAAAACATTTCACTGATCATGGTTAAATAGGTAATAAGATATATTGACAGCATGTATTCCCCCCCCATCACTGCCATTATATTCTTGCCAAAAATGCATAATCTTAATCATGAGAAAACACCAGACAAACGCAAATTAAGAGGCATTCTCAAAATAACTGTCCAGGCCGGGTGAGGTGGCTTACGCCTGTAATCCTAGCACTTTGGGAGGCCGAGGCGGGCGGATCACAAGGTCAGGAGATTGAGACCATCTTGGCTAAGGTGGTGAAACCCTGTCTCTACTAAAAATACAAAAAAAAAAAAAAAAAATTAACTGGCCGTGGTGGCAGACGCCTGTGGTCCCAGCTACTCAGGAGACTGAGGCGGGACAATGACATGAACCCGGGAGGCAGAGCTTGCAGTGAGCCAAGATGGCTCCACTGCATTCCAGCCTGGGTGACAGAATGAGACTCCATCTTAAAAAACAAACAAACAAAAACCAACTGAGCAATACTCTTTAAAAGTGTCATGGTTGGCCGGGCCGGGCACGGTGGCTCACTCCTAGAATCCCAGCACTTTGGGAGGCCGAGGCAGGCGGATCACCTGAGGTCAGGAGTTCGAGACCAGCCTTGCCAGCATGGTGAAAACCCGTCTCTACTAAAAATACAAAAATTAGCTGGGCAAGGTGGCAGGCGCCTGTAATCCCAGCTACTCGGGAGTCTGAGGCGGAAGAGTCGCTTGAGCCCAGGAGGTGAAGGTTGTGCTGAGATCGCACCATTGCACTCCAGCCTGGGGGACAAGAGCGAGACTTTGTCTCAAAAAAAAAAAAGTGTCATGGTCATAAAAACAAGGAACAACCAAGGAAATGCCACAGATTGGGGGGAGTAAAGTATGTAGTTAATAATATACCAACGTTCATTTTTAAATTTTGATAATTATGGTAAGTAAGATGTTAACATCAGGAAACTGGGAGTAGGAGAACTCGACCATTTTTGCAATTTTCTGTAAGTCTAAAAGTATTTCAGAGTAAAAGGTTGACATTTTTCGTGAATGCTATGATGTTATATATTATTTTCTCTTTCTCTTTTCCCTGAATTTATGCTTGAGGTTTGTCTATCAGCTAGATTCAGTATTGGTTCTCTTACCCTGGTGATGTGCATTTTAATTTCCATTTCCCCATGACTAATGATGGTGAGTCTATTTTTATGTGCCAATTGGCTATTTTTGTATTTTGTGGTCAGTTCTTTTAAGGATAAGTGTTTTTAAAGCTTTTAATACCTATTGCTTTCATAAAATTGTACTAATTTATTCTTATGCCAGCAGTACAGGTTGAGTATCTGTGATACTATGATATATGTATGTATGTTTTTGTCCATGGTTCCTAGCTCATAACTCCCCTAGCTTTCGTTATAATGTTGGAGCTCTTGAAGCAAGCCTCAGAAAACAGAATCTCTCTCTGACTTTCACCTGCCCAAAGCAGGACTCTCATCTTCCCCTGCCTTTCTGATTATGGGTCATAAGACTTTCATTTCAGAAGAGGTCCTACCCCATACCCTGGAGGAAGGAATGCTACCCAGAGAGGCCGGGAAGAATCTGAACAGACAGGCCTTGCTGAGTTTCCCCAGTCTATTAATATTAGATCATATATTTTTTCTCCAGTCACATTTCTACATGTGTGTCAGTCATGCCCATCTAATGAAGTCTCCATAAAAGGCCCAAGAGGAGAGGGTTCGAAGAGCTTCTGGACAGGAACAAAAGGAGGTTCCTGGAGAGTGGTGTTCCCAGGGAGGGCATACCTTGCCATGTGTATCTCTTCAACTGTATATCCTTTATAATAAACTAATAAATGTGATTCCCTGAGTTCTGTGAGCCACTCTGGCAAATTAACCGAACCCAAAGAGGGGCTCATGAGATTCCCAGTTTATATCCAGTCAGTTAGAAGCACAGGTAAAACAAACTGTGGCTTGTGATTGACATCAGAAGTAGGGAGCAGTCTTGTGGGACTGAGCCATCAACTTGTGAGATCTGACGCTTTCTCCAGGTAGGTAATGTCAGACTCGAATTGGAGGATACCCACTTGGTGTCTGCTGCAGAATTGATTGCTTGTTGGTGGGGAGAAATCCTCACACATTTGATCACAGAAGTCTACCTTGTTGATTGTTGTTGAGTGAAAGAATCTTAAAAACAAAAACTGTTTTTTCCACTCAGGGTATCCCTAATGTGAAATTTGAAGTCTTCCAAAATCCAAAACATTTTTTGCACCAACACAACCAAAGGAAATATTTATTAGAGCATTGTAGGTTTAGGATTTTTGGACTACGGATGCTTAACTGGTGATTATAATGCAAATATTGCAAAATTTGAAAAAATGCAGTCTCAAGCACTTTGGATCCCAAGCATTTCAGATAAGGGATACTCAACCTGTATATTTAAATGCCTATTTCATTCTTGTTAGTTTCCATGCTCCCATGCTCATGGTAACTCATCAGTGAAAGAGTGGAATTACAGTTTTCCCTAGCATTTTGGATTAGGTGTTTTTCTAACTGTCTATAAAATGTTGTGTTACAGAAAAATGGCTACTGGACAGGATCGAGTGGTTGCTCTCGTGGACATGGACTGTTTTTTTGTTCAAGTGGAGCAGCGGCAAAATCCTCATTTGAGGAATAAACCTTGTGCAGTTGTACAGTACAAATCATGGAAGGGTGGTGGGTATGTATCATTGTTATTGTTACAACTATTCAACGGTAACACAGTGGCACTGTGGCAGGTCCTTTGTTGTGGTGATGGTGGTGACAGGGTCTTTATTGTCCCGTCCAGAGTGCAGTGGCACCATCAGCTCACAGCAGCTTTTACCTGGGCTCAAGTGATCATCCCTCTTAAGCCTCCCAAGTAGTTAGAACTACAGGAGCGCCCCACTATGCCAAGCTGATTTTATTTTTTGAGGGGTGGGTAGAGATGGGGATTGGTTGGTGGAGCAGAGCTCACTATATTGCCCAGGCAGGTCTTGAACTCCTGGCCTCAAGCAGTCCTTCTGCTTTGGCCTCCCAAAGTGCAGGAATTGCCAGCATGAGCCACTGTGCCTGGCCCTACTTTTGAGATTTCTGAACTGCTTTGTTTTGGATTGAATGATGGCATCTGTGGTCAAAAAGTTTCTGATATGTTTATAGATTACTTGTGTTAAATGTTACTTGTTTTTGCTTGTGATCATGTAATATATTTTCTGTTTCCTTTTTTTTCTAACCTTAGAATAATTGCAGTGAGTTATGAAGCTCGTGCATTTGGGGTCACTAGAAGTATGTGGGCAGATGATGCTAAGAAGTTATGTCCAGATCTTCTACTGGCACAAGTTCGTGAGTCCCGTGGGAAAGCTAACCTCACCAAGTAAGAAAAAAACATTATTTAAGGAGACATAAAGGAGTCGAAAATAATACTCCATGAGTCTAGGAACTGGTGTTTTGAATTTGTTCCATGTAAATAACATCTGAAAAAATTCTTTTTGGTCAGCCATCTTGTCTCTGTGAAATGAAAAACAGATTTTAATACTGTGTTTTGGGGACAGTTCAAAACCATTATAACACATAAGAGTTGCTGCCTTTCATATCTATTCAGTTCCTTGATTGTTCAAAATTGGTTGTTAAATTGAGACTTAATACCAATTCCCATGTTCTCCATCCAAAAATCTAAAGTATTTGAAGTAATTAAATTGACTGTGAAACATAATTTTTCCAGGAAAGGCTGAGTCAAACTGACATTCTAGTACAATATCAGGAATTAGTTGCTATAATTGAACAATATCAAGGGAGATTTCTTTGTTTTTAGATTAAGCTATCTCTCTGCAAATACTAGAAGTTTCGCCTTGGATTGGGGGATATGTATCAGCATAGCTAAGTCAGAGGTAGGCACAAACCCCAGCCTTTAATCCTAGCAGCTAATATGTATTGAACCTATTATCACATGCCACGCACAGTGTTAAGCTCTCTGTAGGCAATATCTCTATTAAATCTGACATCGTTATAAGGTAGGTACTAATATTACTCCCCCTTCACAGATAAGGAATCAAGTTCAGGGAAGTTAAATAATTTAAGTTAGGCTGGGGGTGGTAGCTCACGCCTATAATCCTAGCATTTAGGGAGGCTGACGTGGGCAGATCACTTGAGTCCAGGAGACCACCCTGGGCAACATGGGGAAACCCCGTCTGTAACAGAAAATACAAAAATTCGCCAGGCATGTTGGTACACACCTGCAGTCCCGGCTACTTGGGAAGCTGACGTGAGAGGATTGCTTGAGCCTGGGAGGCAGAGGTTGCAGTGGGCCCTTATCGCACCACTGCACTCCAGTCTGGGTGACAGAGTCAGACCCTGTCTCAAGAAAGAAAAAAGTTCAGACAGCTAAGTGAAAGACTGAGGATTCACATGTGTTTTTTAAGATTCTAATATCTATGTTCTCAAGATACACTGTGCTATGTGGTGTGGTATAGGAATCATGCTTTGACTCAGGACCTGAGATACTTCTGAATTCTAATTCTATGAATTAGAAGTCTAAAGGTAGAGTAGCATAGCCAGACCCACATTGGAATTATTGCTAGAAAAGAAGATAGACTTGACTGAAGATTAAGTTTTCCAGATACTCTTAAAAATGCCTTGCAGTGATTTGCTCAAGAGGCTGTGAGGAAGCACTGAAATCAAGTATTGTTTTGGAAAAACTCAAAACTATGGTTTTCCTCTCCTCTCACACCACAAGAACGATCAACACAGAAGACATCTATGACTAAAGGTGTGGAAGTATTTCCCCACACACCAATCAGCAGACACCAGCTGTATGTCCTCCCAGTCAATTCCAACACTGTCTACCTGGAGATGGCTTCAGATTCCACATGCTGAGGGCTCAGTACCATAAGAACACCCCATCCTTCCTTTCCATCATAAGTCCAGGCTTTTAGAACGTCTGAACAGCTGGCTTTAAGTTGGGGTTCCTACAATCCCTTTTTTGGATTAATTTGCTGAAGTGACTCACAGAACTCAGGAGAACACTTACTTATGTTTATTGGTTTATTATAAAGGATATTATGAAGGATACAGTTAGGTTGGGCATGGTGGCTCACACCTGTAATCCGAGCACTTTGGGAGGCTGAGACAGGAGGATTGCTTGAGCTCAGGAGTTCGAGACCAGCCTGGGCAATATAGTAAGACCTCGTCTCTACCAAAATTAAAAAAAAAAAAAAAGAAACACACACAAAATTAGCCAGACATGGTATCATGCAGCTCTAGTTCCAGCTACTCGGGAAGCTGAGGTGGGAGGATCACTTGAGCCCAGGAGATTGTGGTTGCAGAGGGTCATGATCAAACCGCTGCATCCAGCCTGGACAGCAATGAGATCCTGTCAAAAAAAAACATGAAGATGAAGAGATATATAGAGCAAGGCATGTGAGAAGGAGTGTGGAGCTTTCATGCCCTTCCTGGATGAGTCACCCTCCAGGAATCTCTACCGTTACAGCTGTTTGGAACCTCTCTGGACCCTGTCCTCTTGGGTTTTTAGGGAGGCTGCATTATGTACTCATGACTGATTAAACCGTTGGCCATAGGTGATCAACTTGACCTGCAGACCTCTCCTCCTCTCCCCTCCCCAGAAGTTGAGGGGGTGGGGCCAAAGGTTCCAACCCTTCTGAAGCTATTATTCAACATTAGCATACAAAAAGACAAAACTTGGGTGATTCCAAGGATTTCTGGAGTTATATGCCAGGAAACTGAGATGAAGACCCAATATATATTTCACAATATTGCAAGTATCCTTTTCTGGCTTTATACGTGAGCATATTGCTCTTTCTTTTTTCTTTTCTTTTTGTTTTTTGTGAATGGGGGATGGAGTTTCACTCTTGTTGCCCAGGCTAGGGTCCAATGGTGTGATCTCGGCTCACTACAACCTCCGCCTCTTGAGTTCAAGTGATTTTCCTGCCTCAGCCTCCCGAATATCTGGGATTGCAGTCATGTGCCACCATGCCAGCTAATTTTGTATTTTTAGTGGAAACGGGGTTTCTCCATGTTGGTCAGGCTGGTCTTGAACTCCTGACCTCAGGTGATCCACCCACCTCTGCCTTCCAAAGTGCTGGGATTACAGGTGTGAGCCGCCGTGCCTGGTCTTGCTCTTTATTTTCTTTGAGGCCTTTCTTCTTCCTGGCTCAAATAATGATTAAAAAAAAAAAAAAAGTCAAGCGTTTCTCTAATTTGAGAATGTTTTAGAACAATGATTATACTAGTTTTTATGGGTGTCATGGTGAAGAGGTACCAGTGTTTTCATTTTTATGGTAAATGTAAATTCAATAGGAACAAAGAACTGGACACTACAAAGCAGGTCCAAACCAAAGCAAAGAAAATATCTGTATAGTGGCCCGGTGCGGTGGCTCATGCCTGTAATCCCAGCACTTTGGGAGGCCAAGATGGGAGGATCACCTGAGGTCAGGAATTCGAGATCAGCCTGGCCAACATGGTGAAACCCCATCTCTACTAAAAATATTAAAAAATTAGCCGGGCATGATGGCAGGCGCCTGTAATCCCAGCTACTTGGGAGGCTGAGGCAGGAGAATCGCTTGAACCCAGGAGGTGGAGGTTGCAGTGAGGCCAGATCCTGCTATTGCACTCCAGCATGGGGAACAAGAGCGAGACTTCATCTCAAAAAAAAAAAAGAAAAGAACAAAATATCTGTATGTTGTCACAGAAAACTAGCTATACAGGCAGAAGAGCTGCTTATTAAAGTTTGAATAGAAGACATATGGTGAGATTGGTATGTATACCCTGGGGACGGTTGTCTGCCCACCCAGACATATCACCACATTCTAGGTGCTTATCTTCAGTTTGATAATTTGAATATTAGTATATCCATAAATGGTTGGTTAAGGCATGTGTGTGTATGTGGTGATGACCAGTTTACATGTTAACCAAACTCACCGTTGACTGAAGTATAAAATCCATATGCCAGTTTGTTAATTTATGGTGAGAAATATTATCCTGGGGAAGACCATATGCTCTGGTTCACTGATCAGTGCAGTGTTCCATGTAAATCACCCTTTTTTTTTTTTTTTTGAGACAAAATTAGAAGCAGAAGATTTCTTGGTGGATATATGAAAATAAAAAGAATAGGTGATCATAGTAATACACAAATGTGAGGCATTTCTTTATTTTTTATAGAGTTCCTTGTCATATAGACGTGTTCATAGTTTGAATGCTTTCTACCTTGGTAGTTCTGGCATTGTGCTAAAAATATTTGCCTCTGTGGTTCTTCCTTTTCCATGCTTCTATTATTGACCATCTGCCTGCCTGTTGACCCTTTCAGTTACTACTTTCTAGTCTCTGTTAAGCCACATGTCTCTTGATTATGTGTATTATTGTTCATTATGGCAGGGTGGGAGTGGAGCAGACAATCTCAAGGTTGCCTCTGTTTATTGCCTGCATGAATGATCCTTACACTTCTTAGGTACCGGGAAGCCAGTGTTGAAGTGATGGAGATAATGTCGCGTTTTGCTGTGATTGAACGTGCCAGCATTGATGAGGCTTACGTAGATCTGACCAGTGCTGTACAAGAGAGACTACAAAAGCTACAAGGTCAGCCTATCTCAGCAGACTTGTTGCCAAGCACTTACATTGAAGGGTTGCCCCAAGGCCCTACAACAGCAGAAGAGACTGTTCAGAAAGGTACTTCCATAACATCATATTGCTTCTGCTTCCTGCCTTTGGAACCTGCTTTGCTTGGTCATGCTGATTCTCCATGGAATAATTGAAAGGAAACTTAAACTACAGCCTGAATGAATCACAAGGACTCACATGGAAGCATATACAAATTTTCTTATCTTTCCAGGTATATGGCTGTTGAGAAGCTATGAAATCTGTATGAAAGTAAATTTCTCTTTTAGATATAACTAGGGCAGGTTAGTGTTATCAGTAGAAGGCAGAGGCCTGGCGCGGTGGTTCACGCCTGTAACCCCAGCACTTTGGGAGGCTGAAGTGGGTGGATCATGAGGTCAGGAGTTCAAGACCAACCTGGCAGCATGGTGAAACCCCATCTCTACTAAAATGCAAAAATTAGCTGGGCATGGTGGTGCGTGCATGTAATCTGCTACTCAGGAGGCTGAGGCAGGAGAATTGCTTGAACCAGGATCCAGGAGGCAGAGGTTATGGTGAGCTGAGATCTCACCACTGCACTCCAGCCTAGGCTACAGAGGGAGACTCCATCTCAAAAAACAAAAAAATCAATAGAAGGCTGACTGAGCACTTTGTCATTGGTGGCTTAATTTTTATTACTGTAACTTAGTGTCTTGGTTAATTAATATATAAGAAGAGTGAGCTTTTTAAAGGGGGACCTCAGGTATAGGGAGTTGAGTGATTCAAAATTTCTACTCACTTCTTAGCACATTATTACATGGGCTGCACAAGGCCCTTCTCATTGTATTTTGCTACTTTTACCCTTCATAGTGATTTTCCCACTCCCTCTGTACCCCACTCACCCTCTTGTACCCACTGATATACTTGATATATCTTAGATGTGTATATATCTCTTCTCTTCTCTTCTCTATTTTGAGATGGAACGTCACTCTCGCCCTGGCTGGAGTGCAGTGGCACGATCTCAGCTCACTGCAACCTCCGCCTGCACGGTTCAAGCAGTTCTCCTGCCTCAGCCTCCGGAGTATTTGGGATTACAGGCATGTACCGCCAAGCCCGGCTAATTTTTGTATTTTTCATAGAGACGGGGTTTCATCATGTTGACCAGGCAGATCTCGAACTCCTGACCTCAAATGATCCACCCGCCTCGGCCTCCCGAAGTGCTGGGATTACAGGCGTAAGCCACCGCACCCGGCCTATATCTTTATAAGTTACCCAGTATTGCTTTGTATATGTGCTTTTTAATTACAAGATGATTTTGTGCTATTAATAGATCTCATTCTTTTTCTTAATTTTCCTTCAGTAGTGACCTTAGAGATCTCTCCATGTGGCTGTATTTATTTGTAATTGATGGCTTCGATGGCTGTTACTTGCAGCATAATCCATGATATGGATCCACCATGTTTACAGACCATTTTCCCTGGTGACGAATTCATTGATTGCTTCTAATGTCCTACTGTAACAGTTTACATTCCCCCTAGGAGTACATAAAAGTTCCTGTTTCCCCTATATTCTCAACAACTCATATCATCTAATGTTTAAAAATAGGCCGGGCGCGGTGGCTCAAGCCTGTAATCCCAGCACTTTGGGAGGCCGAGACGGGCGCATCATGAGGTCAGGAGATCGAGACCATCCTGGCTAACACGGTGAAACCCCGTCTCTACTAAAAAAAATACAAAAAACTAGCCGGGCTAGGTGGCGGGCGCCTGTAGTCCCAGCTACTCGGGAGGCTGAGGCAGGAGAATGGTGTGAA